CTGCGTTTAGTACAAGATGGTCGATGTGCCTTTGACCGTGTCGCTAACGGTGGGTTTGCCGACGCGAGACCGTGTTACCCCGCGTCACTGAACGAGCTCCGTTGTACCTGGAGGACAGAGACGCGACCCGGGGACGCCGACGTGTACGACGCTAAATGGCTATCGTTGGATAAGGGTCACACATACTTTGGTACGTATCCCGCGGGTACGGAAATCGCGTGGGAGTCAGGACGCGCGATCGACGGTGGATCACGATCCACCTGTCAACGATCTACCTGGCACACACAAAGTGTGTATTCATGCGTGCGCGCGCGGACGTCCGTCCGCAAGTAAATTTCTCTCCTCGGGCTTTCTTTTCTTCCCTGGTTTAAATTCACAAGCGATATTTCGATCTCTAATCGCGAGAGAACACGGAAGAGAATCATCGCCGTGGATTTCCACGACGCTCTGACGGAGCACCCGTCGCGTCTCGATCTCACCCTGCTTGGACGCGTTTATTAAACCGTTTCTTTTCGACTGTTGCAGTTCGTGCAGTCTTCGAGAAGTGCGGCCGCTCGAAAGGGACGCAAGAAACGATGGAGAAGCGGCAGGAGGTGCTCGCCCCGTTTTCCTCCGGTGAGTCTCCTCTCGGCTTTCTCTCTGTCATATAAAAGGATGCATGGATGAGTGTTTGTTGTGTAGGCGTAAGTGCAGCGTAGGTATGTGGCGTGTTTGCCGCGAAACAGGCATTTATTTATACTTATATGCATCGTTTATTGACTGACGTACGATACATGATCGAAACATATTGAAACGTATATGAATTTTAATATCAAATATTTCTGGAGAGTGATATTGAGTGTGTGTGTCAAAAAGTCAAAATGTTTCCCCTGAATTCTTGAAAAATATCTCATACTAAAGTGTATGAAAATATCAAGAAAAATACTATATGTAACATATTAAGTATCAATATTTTCATATGTGATATTTTGCAAAAATAAGACTTCTGAAAATTTTTTAAGAACAAATATTTAGTTTATTATTTTAAAATTCTTATATTTTAAACGCTGATAAGAATAATGTAGTGATTATATAGTCTTAAAATACAACATTCTTTGTTAAAACGTCTCTTATTAAGGAATAAATAAATATTGAATGCATATGAAAAAATATTTAATTAATTTTCTTTCAGAAGATAAATTGACAAAGATTTTGTTTTATGAACATTATAATGAACATTGCACACATACATACAATATTAAAAAGAAAGAATGGTATAATGTGTATTAGGGTGATATATATACATTTTACATACCATTGATGTGTCTTTGTATGATATATATTATACATATATGTATCTATCATTGCTATTTATGTTGGAACAGAAACAAAAGAATATTCTTGAGGTAATCAATACCATGTAAAGTGGAGAGAGAGAGAGAGAGAGAGAGAGAGAGAGAGAGAGAGAGAGAGAGAGAGAGAGAGATAGTCTAAAATGTATGAAATACATGTACTATATTTTGTTTTTGTTTTATCGTATAATAAATATCTAGAAAAGCACATATTAAGATAATAAAAAAAATTAAGAAAACTAAATTGAGAAAAATAATTCTGTACAAGAGAGTGTCATTAATTATATAATTATGTTCATACATCGCTAATCAGCATGCTTCTATATTTTTAGAAAATATTTTAGGGATTGTTTAAACAGCTGTGGTAAAAAGTTTTCAGTTTTTTAAATTGTATCCATATTATGTTCTGGCACGTCTGACTGAGCAAAGTCAGCATCCTGCTGAGAAATCTAATTTGCGAATTCTCATCGGCGTTGAGCCTCGTTAAAACGAGATTAACGTTAAATGGCGTGGTAAAGTGTTTACAACGATATAATCTGTTAAACAACAATTTAACTCCGTGAATATCTGATAACGACAATAATATCAATTTTCCACTTGACGTTCACCGTAACGAAAGTAATACATTTAGTTTTTCCGCAGCGCGATCGATTACGTACTGTCGCACGCTTTTGCGATGAAAAGAATACAAACGGAAAACGGAGGAATGCGAACATTGTGATGCCATTTGAAAGCCAGTAGATGCCAAAACTTTCTCCGGAAGCGAGAAAATCCGTGCGCCGTTATTTCTTACTTATATATAGAGAGCATGGAATTTCGTACATCGTCACCCACAAAATAATTATTGCCGAGCGCCGTGAGGTTTCCACGTGCAAGCCAACACACAAGTATCGCTGTATCGAATATTCTCACGATGAAGGAACGATCGTTAAGGGCTACTTCAGTGAAAATCATTACCGCCGGAATATTTAATAACGCTGATAGTATCGACTCCGAGTCTCCGCGGCCTACATTCAAATGCCAGCTGGAGCAACACAATCACGTCTCTCTGACGTCCCCCTGGTAACCGATATTGTCGAAGGGTTGTTTGTGACGCTGATTACTTACTGCTATGATGAAACCTTACCGCGGTAAAATAATTGATAGAAAACTGAAAAGAAAAATATCTACATTGAAGATGTAATAGTAAGACAAATGGAAAGAATTATTGAAGAGTAAATTGAAGTATTTTATTGCCTTGCAAGAAGTACATTGATCGATAAATGTAGAGCTTGATTTATTATTTAGATATTAATGTGAAATATTCATTTTAAGTAGATTTTGTTTTAATATAATCTTTATATATATATATATATATATATATGTAAAGTTTATTTATTTAAAAGAAGCTACAAAATGAAGAAAGCCCAATCAAAATTTCGATGAGATATTTGTGGTATTAGCTATATAAGTTTTCTGTAATAAATGTAAAAAGTTGAAAAAGAGACTAACTAAATTAATAAATACTTTTTGGTTATCAAATGGTACATAATAATTTTTTATGATATATATTTGTATGATATTTCAAAGTAATGACATAAAAACTTTCAATACAAAATTGCATTATTTTATTAAAACACTAGTTTTTATGTGCTTTAACTTATATGCAATTGAAGATTGGTGAGCTCTAATGAATTCAGGTTTATATTACAAATAGAAAACGTAAAACACATTCTCTAATTATGTCTAACATGGAGATTCATCTCTTAACTGTAATTCGCAGTTTTATCAATATCAGTTTATTATAATTTTCACTTAATTAGTTCTTCATCCCTTTCCAGCTTCATTTCTAAAAAATGAGAAGCCAATTTAAATGAAAGTTATAGCAATACTGATAAAATCAGTGTCATCGCTTATAAAAACATTCAGTGTTTTAAATTCTTAACAGTTCCCAAAAGAGAGGACGGCCAGAAATATTGTCCGAGAACGGAAGATTATCTGTGGAATCGCGTGAAAAGCTGCGTGGGAAATATCCGGAGATAGCTGGCAACTAAAGATTCATATCGGGCCACTTCGTGACACACTCAGGGTGGAAAGATACAAATCTAACAAACACACACTGTGCAGCTGATGTCGACGGCGCGGCGCGGCGGCGGCGGCGGTGGTGGTGGAGGAAAAGCGAGTTGAAGGTTGACGGTGGTGATGGTGGCGGGTTACAGGGTCGCGGGGGTGTACGGAGGCAGCGGAGTGGTGCGCGCGGACCACTGGATCAATTCTCGCTCCGGGAGCTACATAGGGGGAAAAGCAACAGTCTGTCAGCCCCTTTCTACCCGGAAAAGTGCTCGGCCACGGTACGCTATTTCGTGCGCTTCTCGCGCCCGTTCTATTCGCCGAAGACGATGATAAATTCATCGCGGAGAAGACCACTCTCTCGGAACAATTCAAATCGGATTAAATCACACGCGAGCTGCGTGATCTCAATTAGATCCGTGAGAAATTCAACGCGCGGACCACTGGCGTATCGGTTGCGCGTAAAAGACATCGGCACAATTAACGTCATAGAAATTACGGCGTGGATCTTGCTCGCGTCGGGATTGAGATCGAATCGTGGTAGAGCAGCACAAATCAAATCAGTTAATAGCCTCTCAGTGCTTGACCACAACGTTATACGTATGGAGTTACGATTCTCCGGTTTAGTTTCTCACGAACGCGGATTTTGTTTTAGCCGCGATCAAGCGATCGAGTACACAAATTGTTCTGGAAAACGAATTGTCTGAAAGGAGAAAAGATTTCTTTGTCATCCTTTGCCCGCTTCGACTTTCGTTTCCAAGCGTCACTGTGAAATTGTAAGATCCTTAAAATTCAACTTGCGTTCGCGGTGCCCGATTCGAAATCCGGTTTGACCTTAACGTACTTGACGATGCTATCAGTCGGAGAACTCGTCCCAACGGGCACATCGTAGAAATCGAGACATTCTTCCTTCTGGGCGCCGTTACGTTATCCCTCGCGCGCGTATTTAAGCGGAAAACGCAAATGCGAGTTGTCGGCGGACTGCACAATCTGACCTGATTTCCATTGAATATGCCTTTATGTGGTATTTTGAGAGCGGAGTGGAGTCCGAGATGAGGTCGTCGCGGGGGCCGGTGTGATTGTCGCGGAGTCGCCGTTTGTTTCCAGTCCCGCGAGTCAATAGAAAGAGAGGCGACGCGAGGAGGACGTTTCGGTATCGGTTTTCCGGTATCGCGCTTTCGAACTCCCTCTGACTTCGACTTCGACTCCCGACTTTTTGCATTACGTATATCACCGCGTGAGGACATCTCCAGTAAACTTCTTTACGCGCCTCTCATCCCCATCACTATTAATTTTTGCTATTAAACTGCGAAAAATATGACACTCATTCTGTCTCTCATTTCTCGTTGCACACGTTGGTCATGATTTAAATAGAGCAAGGTATTCGATAATGTATAATGATTCTGCTTATAGCATAGCGTTGAATTAATGAAGGAATTCACACATACATATACTTTATCCAAAAGACATTCTGAGAACGTTCTTGAAGACGTCTAGAGGACATAAGGACGTCCTTTGGGCATCTTTAGAGCGTTTCTTGGAGTCTGTGCTGTATGAGAATAAAGCGGTGATAATGATTAGTCAATAATTATTACAATACAGATGCGACGATTGTGTAATATGTTGGCAGACGAGTGTCCGAACAGTGGCGAGGACAGCGAGGAAGATGTAATAACCGATTACCTTGGCTCATCGCACTCCGACTGCGATCGCGTGCTGCCTATCATTAATGGGGATTTACGCGGCCTGAGTTTACACGGTGGTATAATTACGGAGACCGGCTACAGCACCAAAGACAATACCGATAAAGCGCCGATCACCATGTCTGAGGGCGGCGATGAACAACAGCACCACCAGCAACAGCAGCAGCAACATCCCTTACTCGCACTCGGCACTAATATAATACAAGCCCAGCCTAATCCTCTGGTGCCCATCATTAGCGTCACGCCACATTCGCCCGGTGTGGCCAAGAATTATCCGGTCCTAGGTAACGGTTGGCTTTTATTTCACGTAATTGAATTTGGAGATATCAACTTTTATATACAGTTCTTACTTTATTTTTGCACGCATGATGATATTTACACAATATTTAAATTTATGTAGGAGAATAAATATAAATATCGAGACGTATTTATTTTTATAAAATAAAAAAAGAATGTCAAAATTATGTAAGTTAAAATATGAGAGTAGACCAAACAAAATAATAAAATAATAAAAGGATTCCTGTTAATTAAAATACAAACTGTTAACAAAAACGAATACTGTTAGTTAAAATACAAACAATAAATAATAATAATAGGCAATAGGAGTCAGTGCAGGAGATAGTGCGCAAATTAACAACAATGTCGGTTTAAATAAATTAATGTAATGGCATATAAACTGAATGTTTTGGCTTTAGATTTAAGCTATTTTTAGCAGAAAGTAAAATCAATTTGTTTAAAAAATTAATAAAGGATCAAAATATAGTCGCATTAGTATCATCAAATTAGATTGTTATCGTTGTCCGCGATTTTTGATTATGATTCTTTTTACATGTTTCAAATTTTAATGTTTATTTTTAATTTTTGACTATGTAATAATGCGATTATATTTTGATTCTTTATTAATTTTTTAAATAGACTTTACTTTCTGCTGAAGATGGCTGGAATCTAGAGCCGAAATGTAACAATTTATGTGACATTACACTAATTTATTTAAATCGACATTGTTGATTTATGCATTATCTCCCACGCTAACTTCTATTGCCCGTATTATTATTTATTGTCCATAAAAGAAGAAATAAAAAAATTTAATAAATGTTCAATTCTTTAAATGTTCTTCTTACAGAGGAGAATTTACAGCAACTGCACGAAATCCACGACTGCATTCAGCGTATGCGAGACTTGACATTAGGCACTTTGGGATATCATATTCGCGCCTCCAACAACGCTCCACAAAGATTAACCTCCTCCTGTCCATCCCTGTGTCCGCTGACTTCAGCCGAACTCGCATCTCGATCCGGTAATCATCATGACACTGGTTCTGATCCGGACCTTGTCCTTGGTAATTGTTCCACAAACAGTTCCCCAACTCATTTCCCCTTAACGGGTGGTCATGCCCGCTCGCAACAGGCGCAAGGTATAGATCGAAGACGCAGCTGGACTGGAGATCTGGGGGATCTGGAGGAGAACCGACACGGTCGTCGCCGATATTCCTCTGGACAAAATCATCTGCAGGCCCAAAATATGGTTAATATTGTCTGTTACTTGTTAAAACCAAGGCGCGATTCAATTTTGGTGAATTCATATTTTGATGCTACGCAAAATTGTTGTATTCCCATTATGTATTAAGAATGTAGAAATTATCTCTTGTGTCTGTAATATCGAAATCTGAATTCGTTAAAATTATATCGGTCTTAAATACTCAATTATAATCACACTTTTATTCGCTTTATGATGGTAGCATGGTGTTGGTTGCTTTATTGTCTTGCGCATTGCGTTTCTTGTCGAAACCATCGCTAAATGCCACTCAACACGCAATCACGACGTACTCGTTTACTCATTTCAGCGACAACGCAGCATTAGTTTAAGTAGCCTAGACAGCGAAAACGAGATAGAATTAGATGGAAAATCATGTACCGGACCTGTAGGCGTAAGCAATCGAGCATGCAGGTCGCAAACGAGCACGCACTCATTGAACGAAGCTGATCTTGTACAGGTAATTTTCGAGATTGTTCGAAAGATGATTTCTTTTTTTGACATGCACACGGGGACAAAGTACTACATAGTAAATTTTTCTTTGGCAGAATGAATATCAGAAGATAGTCACAAAAAGGGGTAGTCAGAGATTAGCAGAAAGTAGCAGTTTAATGCCAGGACTGACTGGTTCGCGTTTACCTCTTCAGAAATCTATATCGACGCCCTCGATTGTTACACCGCAGGTTCACGCGCATTTAACTGAAGCCGGAACTCGGACAACGCCTTCACTTGCAGCGTAAGTTTATCACGAGTTATGAATGAAGATCACACAGCTAGATCAACGATAATAAGGAAATAGATACCTATTATATTATTTTCTAATATCTTTTTTATAAAGAAACGTCACTTTCGAATAATCGTTATCTAGCTTGAGATCTTGTTATTAATTAGCACACAAAAAGCTATGCACATTTATATTTTATGCCGAGTACATCCATGTGTGCGTAAACACCCATGCATGTACACTTTTACGCGTACATATTTATATTTTATCGATTTTTCAATCTTTCGCACAAGTAGAAACTTATTTTGAAAATGCAGACGCAGACGTACTCATGCATGAATACTTATAAGTAGTAGAATAAAACTCAGAGATATTTATATTTATAAATGCCTGAAATATTCTATATTAGATAGATCTTTTAATTTATGACTGTTCGCGTATTATTGTATTGCAAGTCACACATGTAAAATGTAGAAAGAAAAAGTCATATTAGAATATAATGTTATAATAGCCATTCATATAATTTGATACATATTTTGTCTAAAGAATATCGCGGTTTATATTATTACGAGTAGTTATTGGTGACAAGTACAATTAATATCTTGTGTCTTTTATTTTATATGAGATAAAAGTAGTGTAATAACAGTGCATATCTGCTATTGATTTAAAAGTTTAGTTTTATATACATTTTATCAATTATGTAACTATTTTTCTAAACGCGCGAGCAGTTTGTAATTTCAAATATTATGAATGTGCATCGGATTATCTGAGAATATCTGAACTATAATTATTTATTATACACAATAGTTGCTTAGTTTGTGTTTGTACTTGAAAATTTGCTACAATCCTGCATGAAACAGCCGTCATGAAAGAAACGAAAAAGGTAGTGGGAGTGAGACAGAAACCGAAGATCTTCATACATCACACAGCCACGAATACCATGAAGGCAGAGACGAAACTCCGAATGTCCAGATATCCCTTGACGAGCTTTTGACCGAGTGAGTACTTCGATGACTCAAGTTCTTCATACTTAATCGAATTATTTATGATACTTTGAAAATCTTTTAACGTCTCTGATGGGAATGGTTTGTACCGGTTTACCAATCGATTTGATTTTACAATCAAAAATAGTCTGTAGTTACATTACAACTGCAAACCAAAGTTGGAGTTACATGCACTTATTTATTTGAAATAATTCATTTTTCTTTGGATATTAATTAAAAAAATAGGCAGTTTAATGTCACTTAAGACTTAACAAAAATTATCAAAATCTATCACAATGAAAATTACTATGTCACGTGATTGTGCATGCAACACATATTAAAATACGTAGCTTTGCACACATTTACAGAAATTACGTGTACACTTTTATCTCGCAATAAGCTACGAACAAATAGAAACGCTTCTATAGTTGCACTGCTAATCATCTACAAAATGCAATTTGAAATATCTATTTCTGACTTTAAATCGAACAACGTTGGTATATATATTAATTTTTCAGTAGTACTGCATATGATGATCATCATTCCGAAAAGACAAGAAGAAAGCGCGGTTCTATTTTCTTCCGTAAAAAGAAGGTAAATTGATAATCTAAAAAAAAAGATTATTTGATAAAGATTATCTGATATTATCTGATAAAGAACGATCCCGATTAATCATATTGAAATCTTATTTCAGGATAAAAGCGGAAAGAAGACTAGTCAACAGCATCTGTGGGTAACGATGGCGGTAGGAACTCAGGGAAGCTTATGTGATGTTTGTATGAAACATTCGACGAATAAACCGCTCCTTCATTGCGACAGTAAGAAAACTATTATATTAAATAATTTACGATTGCCGTAAATGTTATAATTAATTTTTTTTTAATTACATTTTACTTAATTTTTATAAAATCAGATTGCGGAACGTCGGTTCATCAAAGTCAGGGATGTAAGGAACAAGTAGTGTTGGAGTGCATCAAATCTAAGCATCACTCTGGCAAATTTGCAACAAAGTCTTTATCCAACGTTTCCATCTCGAGTAACAGCAGCGTTAACAAACGGGGTTCCACGACGTCGCTACCACCACCAGCTTCATCCGGGAGCGGAAGGTAATAAACTTAAACCGAGACAAAAATTATACTTTTTTTTTGCATTGGATCTGCGTATCTGTGGTTCAAGATTCGCACGCAAATAGCATGGCTGGGCTGAAACTCGGAGTTTATAACGAACTTCTTGTGGTTATACGAAATGATTAATGAATAACTCAAATCACTGTTTAATTTAATTGGCAGTTACTAATAGATTAAAATTTACTCACACTTCATATCTTGATATTTAGATAAGAAAGAAGATTCGATAATTTATCAAGCAAAAAATTTATATCTAATATACATATATAAATAGTATAAAGCGAGATGGGAAAGATCTTAAACTAAACAAAAATTATGCATCTACTTCGAGGCTTTGGCTGGCTCAGAAGCTTATTATTTCTGGTTAATTTCGCAGTTTAGCAACATCAATAGTACGGCAAGCTTTAGCGAGTTCAGCATCGCGTCGCTACATCTTGATATAATATTGTTTTTTATATATATTATGCGTATTACTTTATACAGAATATACTATACTCAGACTACCTCAGCTAGCTTTCGGTTTGCTATTATTACATACACAAGCTACAAAGATAATACTAGCGGCTGATACTGTCGATAATTGCGTGATAACAAAAAGTTATCAAACTCATTAACGTAACTCCAAGAGTCATTCGATTCTAAATTTTAATTATATTACATTACATTTTTTTTTTTTAAAAAAAAAGGACAAATCTGTATATTTATTAGTGAACAGAATTCTTGCGTGTGGGAACGATTTGTTAAAGATAGGTATTGACGTGTAAAATTAAAAAGCGTAAACAAAATAATTAGCAAGAAAAATGGAAATGAAGAAAAAACGGTCTAATAGGCGAAATGAAATTGCCCTAATGCAGTATATGCTTTTTCCTTCTCCCGTGCATTCCCTCTCGTGCAACCACGTGCAAACCGATCGATTGTACGACGATTAAAGGGAAATTAACAGCCACAAGAAAACCGTGTCAAGCTACAGCCCTTGGCGGCGAGTCGCCACTAAACTTGGAGTCAAGTAAGTCTCTGATATCTGATGTGTTCCTCCTGTATTCTGTCGAAAGCGTTCGTTTCTGTTCGTGTATTTCAAGCTGAATTTGGATCAAGTATATGAGTGTAAACAAATACGAATCAACAACTAGTTTTCATGTATCATTCACACTTATTGAAGCAAGTTGTTTATTCACCTTTGTTCGCGATCTTTTGCTTAATCTGGATCCAGCTTTACAACGCGTCTAGGAAGACGCGCGTTTCTCGTTTCTCGATTTTTTTCTCGCACACTACACACGTATACACACATACACGTACATACATATTGTTTGTCCAGCAACGGCAATCGACTTCTGCCGTCTTGTCTTATATACCTGGAAGAGACATCATCTTGCCCTGCCTATGCTTCTGATCTTGTGCTTGCTTCTATGATTTGTGCCCATTCAATAATGTTTTGTGTTACCTTTCTCACTGTAATCTTCGCCTAAATTAAAGCGCATAAGTTCGCGAGCATTTATCTGTAAGATAATTTCTCCATAAGTAATTACACATCGAACATTATTATCACAGTAGATACATGTTCATGACATGTTACCAGTTTCTATCTCTCCTTTCTACTTTACACCTCGCCCTTTCAACGATAGTTTGTCACGTTTCTTTCTCTCGTTGTTTCCACATTTCTCAGTGTGTCACGAGATTTCGTATTCGAATTCTCACTATAGACAGTATGTTCTCGTAATAATTTATAAAGTTTTGAGTCGGGTCGGGATTAAAATTTAATAAAAATCTAAAACGGGTGCTGTTCTTCGAGGCTCTCGTAATACTTTATATATGTGATCCGTGTTCTCGATCGCTGGAAAAGTTTAAGTAAATTGTAGGACACAATAGGAGCGGAGAGAAAACAAGTGGTTACATCTATGACGTATGTACCACCCGACCTGAACTCGGAGTTTCCGGCTCTTGCAGATTATTGCTCATCTGCGAATGGCTTTTTGTTATATATTAATATCAAATACTTTTTATCTTCCTGAATTTATCTTACAATTAAACCGCTAGTTTTATTGGCTATGCATTGCAACGAACGACATTAATTAGTATAATAACATAGTAGTTTAATAATATATTGGATATACATTGATTATTTAATGAAAATTTATACATGTATGCTTAAACGAAGATATCAAATATCGTCTGCAAAAGAGAGAGCAAAAGAGAGAGAGAGAGGTTTGTATAGAAAAAATGCTGAAACAAATATTAAAATTTTTTAATATTTTAAAACATAATTTACAGTCTTTTTAAAAGGCCGGCATCTCAATACATTAATTTCAAGAGTCTTTCAAGCTGGAGTTCAACCTTTAACATTGTGTGCCTTGTTTAAGGAAGAATAAAATTTTTCTTTATTATAAATTGTGCTTTATGAAACAAAGCTATATCTTTCTTTCAGTCAAACGATAAACGAAGAAAAAGATGCCGAGAGCGGACAACATCGTGATCTTCTGAGGTTTGTAAATATATTTTTTTTTTCTTTTTCTTAGATATTATAATAAAGTGAATCTGCAAATTTTAATTAAGGTAGTCATACTATGTACCATAATGTCATATAATGAACAACAAAAAACTACTATGTACCGTAACGTCGCATAATGAACAATAAAAAACTAAAAAAAAACTAAGATAAAAGACTTTGTTTATTTCAGCGGATGGGAAGAATTTGACTTTGGAGACGATGCTCATCAATTCACGGTGGCAGATCTCGAGGAACTAGATCCTGAGCTGACGTTGGGAAAGGAGGAGCCTGATTCTTGGAGCTCCGCGATCGGACGTAATATCGCGTTACGTCTCGTCGATCATTGCGACCGCGAGGTAAAGAGGCAGGAACATATATACGAATTTGTGCTCACGGAAAAACACCATTGTTTGGTGTTGCTCGCCATGGAGAAGATTTTCGCGGAGGGGTTGCGACGCCACTTTCGTCTGGGCCAGCCGGATCTCAAGCGCATGTTTCCCCGACTACGAGATCTGATCGATATCCATCTGCGATTTTTGCGATTGCTGCGGAAACGGCAGAATGCTAACCCTGTAGTTTGTACGATCGCCGACATTTTAGTTGAGCAATTTTCCAACGACAACGCGCAACGTATGAAGAGTGCGTATGGGGAATTTTGTAGTCGTCATCGGGACGCCGTCGAAGTGTACAAATATTACTTGCGTAACGATCCTCGCTTTGCCCGTTTTGTTCGCCACTGTCAGGTAAGTTTTCATAATGAATAACAAGCAAATAACTGATGTAGATTAGAGTGGTACGAATCATTAAAATGAAATAATTTATTTAGACGAATCCTTTGTTGAAAAAGAAAGGCATACCGGAATGTATACTTTTTGTTACTCAACGTTTGACGAAGTATCCGTTGCTGATCGAGCCGCTTATTAAAACCGGCATTGCACAAGAAGAAAGTGAAGACTTACGTAAAGCATTAGTCCTTGTTAAAGAGATTTTAGCTGATGTAGATGCTTGTGTAGCCGACAAAGAGCGAGAAGATAGAAAATTAGAAATATACAATAAGTAAGTTTCCATTTTTTCCCTTTTGATTATTCTTACTTCTTCGCGTGGTTATTTTTTTTTTCAAGTTATAAATATCAACATTTTTTATAGGATTGACGCGAAGTCATTCGCGACGTATCGTGGTGCTAAATTCAAAAAGTCGGATATAATTAATAGAATTCTGAAGTTCGAGGGCACTGCATACTTAATGCAAGGTCGTGGCAAAATGACTGCCATTGTAGTGGTCGTTCTCTCAGACATACTGTTTTTCTTGGCTGAGAGAGATCAGAAATACGCGTTCTTCGTGCCTGACAATAAAGCGGGTATAGTATCGCTGCAAAAACTGCTGGTTCGTGAGAAGGCTCGTCAAGAATCTAGCATTTATCTAATAAGCAGTAACCCAGCCGAACCAGAAATGTTCGAACTAAAAATTCAGAAGCCAAAGGACAAACAATTATGGATACAGGCTATTCGGTCGGCGGTTGAAGCTTGCCCACAAGATTCCGAAAACGAAACCGACACACTGACTGAAAATAGTAATGAATTGCGAGACACTCGTTCCTCCTCGATTTCGCTAGTCTCCAGTGAAGAGAAGCAGCGTATTGCCAAGATTAAAGAATCACATATACTTCGAATCGTCGGTATGTTCTTTTAGTTCTTTTCAACATTTGCATAACTCGTAATACCGTTTTACTTTTTTTAATATATTCAAATAAACAATTGTGTTGTATCAGGCGAATTGCGAAAGAAAGATGCAGAGCAAGCGCTACTATTTGAAGAGAAGATGAATTTGCAAATGCGGCTCTTACAAGCGGCGAATGTTTGGAGCGGTAATGAAAGCGATAACGAAAGAATTGAGAAGCATGAGAAAGAAGGTGCCGATTATACACGGCTGGTGCACAATGAAGGAACTGATACCACTCAATTGTGGCAAGAAGTTAGTATTATCCAATTAATATTATCTCATATCCAATCAAAAAATAATATCTATAAATTAAATTATTGGATTTTTAATTTATAAATCAACGCGGATTAATCGTAAATTTTGTATTTGATACAGGTGGTTGTGGCTGTGCAAGAAGCAACACGTCTTGCTAGTTCGTTGTCGTTTAGCGCGGGCGGCGCTACTCTATCACGAAGCTTAAGCTCCGCCGGCGAACGTCACAGTGAAGCTTACATTCCGCCAGCTCTTTGCGTTCCTCGAAGAGCCGAAACATTCGCCGGTTTTGATCATAATAAAGTACGTGTAAACAAATAAGTAAATGTCAAATAACCGTATAAAATATTAAATCTTATAGGACTGTATATGTATGTGAAAACACAACCAATAAAAAACAAAGCCTTTTAGCTGGTGCTTGTATAATTCCGTGTGAATTTATATATATATGTAGCTAGACAATTTTTCGGTCTTAAAACGTAAACTCTACTAAACTACTGCAGTAAAATTGTTCGGTGTGTAGTTTAAGAAATTATATACGTATTATATTAATTCATACGGAATTATACAAGCATCTAAGGTCCAGCTAGACCGTTAAAGGCTTTTGTTTCTCGTTAATCATATAAAATATTTGATTTTTAGGAAAGATATCCGCGTGACTCGAACACGATGCATACCGTAATTCCCGTTCCGAAACTGTGTGAACTACCCAAAGAAAATCCCGATGAGAAAGGCGGTCAAGAATTGGAGACAAACAAAGATCAGCAATGGGCTGCGATACGTTTGTCTCATCATGTTTATACGTTGCTTTGTATAATAAGTAATCAAATGACAACGATTGATAGCCTGCAAGCGCAATTGGCTGCTTGTAAAGAGGGCAAATCATCCAATAGCCGACCGAATCCGAATCGTCAATTGGAAGAGCTACGGAACTTGCAGGATCAGCTTTGCCGAGAGAAAGCAGCGTTTCGTGTTGCGTCTCAACAGGAGAAGGCTCAGCTAGAAGAGGAACGAACTGAATTGGCGCGACAGAGAGAGCAATTAGCTGCGGAGCAGCGGGATGTAACGCAACAACGAGATCAGTTGTATCGACGACTTGAGGCATTGGAGCGACAGGGCGTAACGCTGGTCGGAAGTTCTACGACTGGCTCGACAATGATTCACCTATCTCACTTAACGCAAAACGCTGAAACACAGCAAAGCGCACGTAGTAAGGCACAATCCGAAGCAAAACGAATCCCTCTAAATCTGATTAGCGCGACGAATCAGCAGAAAGTACAGAGTAATTTGCCAGTTAAGCAACAGCTACCACTAAAGCTGGCCAGTGGGAGTAACAATAACACAAGGTAGAACTAGCTCATTCTACTCTAAATATCGCAAACGTTTATTTTTCAGTTGACAAATAATTTGTGTTTTGTCGTATCTTCATCCAACAGAAGCGGTAGCACTATGAGCAATAATAGTCCGGATCGGCACTCCAGAGCGGGCAGTAGTCCTGCGATTGTCACAGGATCCGCTTACTCGTCACCAGAGCTTGGGAACAGTCAGCATCATGGAATTGGCGGAAATCATACGCATTTATCGAATCGCTCACTTCGCATTACTCGTTCGCCGCCCGACACCCCATTCGTACATCAGCAGGCACAACAGCAGCAGCAGCAGCGAAGTATGGAGCCGCAATCGCAGCAACAGCAGCAGCAGCAGCAACCGCCAGAGGAGGAGGTGATCTTTTTCTGACGATTCTTTCGATTCGGTCGCAAACATTCATCTCGTTCATCGCGTTCCAGTGCCGCCACCACCGGCACGACTACACCAACCTTAACACCGGCTCCATCACCGCGCAATCAATCGAGGAGCAGCCAACAGTCTCGCAGCCGCGTTAAATCTTTCTGATTTTCGGCATAAGTCTTTTGCGATGATGATCAATCTATTTGCTGCTTTACAGATACACTCTCTCGTATGTCTCATCTCCTACCATTTTACATTTTCTTCTATCGCTCAATCTTTCCTCACTACAAGTTTGATCGTCTTACAATAGGATGCACTCAAAGCTATTTATTTCACGACGAGGTCGTAACGTAATACGATACTCCATTTTGTCCACACAATGACACGTCAATAAATATGAGTAGTTAGTCTCGGTATAGCTAGGAGACGAAAGAGATACTAATACTTTATTACATTCCAACTGCTATAACTGACGGCAATAATCATTTTTATGCCAAATCTCGCGAAATTCTATTACCTTGATGAGAAAGATGTATTAAGAATAGAATGCAATTTTTATTAGAAGTGATTGAAGAGTAAGGAGGGGAGGGGGGGGAGAGTGAGTGAGTGAGTGAATGAGTGAGTATTAACGGCTTAATAGTATCAGCGTAGATCAGCCGATCTTGTTGAATTTTTGCTCGTTATGTTATCAAGCTGACTGACAGTTTCAGGCCCAGTTTCTCAACTCATGGTTAACTCTTAAACAAGGATTAACTTATTCTTTATCTCTTTCTAATTCTAGAATTGAAATGAGAAATAAATTGAATCTTGATTAAGAGTTAACCGTGAGTTGTGAAACGACCTTAGAAACACAAGATTTTAGATGAATCTTTTAAACAAACCTGTTGCTGTTTGCTGAAATACAAGGTAGATAAATACATATACTACGGTTACACACACACACACACACACACACACACACACAGGAATGTGTATACATATATATATACTTTTTCATAAGCATAATTGGACATGCACGAAGAGAGAGAGAAAGAAATCCATGTATGTGCGTGTTTATGTGTGTATGTACATGTGTAATGCGACTCATCTCTTGCAGTTGCATATCTAGCCTATATGAATGCACGAACGAATCTCTGTTATGAATGATAGAACGAATCCGCGGTAGTTATTCATATATCATAACTATTGAAGTATTTTAATATGTGCTAAAGCAACAGATAGGACTTATCATTAACAATTACAAATTATTGTCTTTATTATCAGTATATGTGCCAAGCCGCTGGTCAAAATCGACATTCCAGTTCCCAAAATGTTTTTTATGCATGATTCTGTTGTTCGCGAATGTAAGTAGTATGCAATACACTCGCGATTTCTTTCTGACGAATGAATTGTAGCGAAGGGATTTCGTATTTGTCATTTCGTTTCGGGATTATTCACTGCCATTATTGTTCTTTCTTCTCGTATTATTGTCTACAATCTATTTTATTTATTGCATTATGTAAGATTGAAATGAAAACTCGTGCAAACCCACGTGAAACAGTACACGAAAATGAGAGGGTTTGTTACACGAGAATCGTAACGAAGTTTCATCCTACTCTATATTTTATTTGTATATCATATTTATGATCAACGAAAGAGGAAGTTCTTAAGTGTTGAATATATAGAGAAGATGAGGATATTTTAAATCTTAGTACGGTCATACTGCACGTTGGATTGTCGATTTATTCTGTAATAGCACAGGAAACTAGTATATAATTAGCATACCTTAGAAAAAAATGCGATGATGCATTGAACATTTTTTCGGATTCGAGAACGGAAAGGATAATTGTTCAACAAAACGTGTTATATGTAATATATTGTATTGAGATGTAATTGTTAATATGATTCTAAATTACGGATTTTTGAATTCGATAAACGGTTAGTTATAATGTACATTCGTTAGTATATAAAGACTGGCGTGCAATATGATCGGATTGAAAGACAAAGGGACTATCGAGGCACAATGGACAAAGAAGAAATGTCCTAATGAATTAACCTCGTTAAGGAAACTTAAGTAATATAATCTAATAATACTACACAAGTTCATCTCAATCAATCATGGTGACAATAGATCTTAAAAAAGTATTCTGTAAGTATGTCGAGTTATATGAGGGAAAGGGAAAAATGTAAAAAAAAAGAACATAAACGACTGTATTAAAAGTCTACTACTATTGTTTACTGTCTACTGCAATACCAAGCGTGTGACAAGCTCGCGAGGTGATATTTTACGATTGTAGCTGTTATAGCGTCCTCCGCGGATGAGTGTTTGACTTCATTGCACATACCATATATATATATATATATATACACACGCGTATAGATGATGTACTATTTACAGCGTGACTAACTGGAAAAAAAGTTGTGAAAAAATGGAGAGATTTTGTATCGACTCGAGAAAATTAAAAAGGATTAATCTTTCTTAGAGAAAACAACTTCTCAGCGCGCTCGTAGGTTTATATCCTGGAAGACATGATGCAATGAAGCAAGTCAGCAAATTGATAATGTTATAGTGCAATCGATGAAATGCTGCAATTTCCTGTCTCCATCGACTGATATATATCTGTAATAAATAAATGAAGTCGCACACAATCCCGCGGATATTCCAATAACACGCGAAGAATCAAATCTGCGATAGGTGAGGAATAGCGCGACGGCCTATGCGCATCTCGTGGCGTTTTGTATCTTTTTTTTTTTTCTAGTATAACGTCACGTGGCGATGCAGTTTGAGAAAGGATATATATCTATAAAGATGATATATATAGAAATATATATATATATAAATGAAGTTATAGTAACGCGGTTTTCCACGTTTTAGCGAATCTTTACGTCCCCGATGCTCATGGGAAGTATTTTTGTACGTTTACTCTGTACCTATACTACCGTTTCGCTCTAAAACTATATATCTATTGTTATCATTGTGATACTCGCTGCTGCGATCATCTTTTGAATCGTTAATGTAATATTACATATTGTGTAATAAGCGGGCGTGTGTTTGGTTATTGATACGCTCATGGATTGGCAATGGGAGTCTCTTTGAATTTTGATGATTTTTAAACAGAGACTGTAAACTATCAATTGTTATCATTATTGAATTATTTGGTTGATTGTCCTCTATCACGAGTACTAATTGCTCGATACGAATCTTTTCTATGACGATTACCAATCGTCTGTTTCATGAATTTTAATCTTGCTGTGACACAAGGAAATCGTTTCCTTGCAAGTCGCGTGCGACTCCTACGGTCTGTCTTGTTCTTTTCTTCCATGTCCATTAATTCAATGTATCCGCAGTTACATGTGATTTACATTCCTTAGCATTTATACCACGATACCTGTGGCTGCATTTTTTTTAATCAGTATATGACTCGCCGTTGAATAATCGCATAAACAAATAATATCTATTTATTATAAATGTACATACAACTGTTATTGTAATAAAGAAGAATGTGAGGGAAATATACAATTATATTTGTTCATTTTCCACTCTCGCTGCGATACGATTACTTTATGATAAAACACTTTTCCATATTAACAATTCTTTTTCCTAAATGCTTATCTTAATAAGGTTTAGTTCTGTGATGCCGGTCACGGTTAGTTCCAATTTTGGTTAATAACTCATGATTTGAATTTTTCTGTATCGACGATTCTGTTTGCCGCCAAACATTGATAGTGCCTTTCTCGCCAACTGTCACCAAGCTTCCACTCTACAAAATCGAGAGTACAAGGTGATTATTGATAATTCTCCAAGTTTGAGTTTCTTAATTTATAATTTACCTTCTCATGCATCCAGCTGTCCCGTACTATTTGTTTGTTCCCTACAATTTCGTAATACATTTCCAAACGATTTTTCTTGATATTTAAGCATCTTAGATTTTCCCTGAAAAAATATAAATGTTATATGGTTGTGAATCTAAAAAAAAATCCTATTGTCTTGAACAATGTATTACACTTATATTGTACATTGAAAATTAATACCCTTTAACTGTGCTGGAACCCGTCAATAGGAATGGTTGTCCAAATGCATCAGTGGCATGGAATCTTACCAAGTAACAATTATCGGGATCATCATTCTATAAATAGAATTCTTTAGTTATTTTATAAGAAAAGCGATGAACAATGACATGATTATAGGAAAACCATTCATACCTGTGACACGGCTAAATCACTACGTGTAAATGTTGCATATGCACTAGCACCTTCACATTCCCATAACTGTAATATTTGTGTATGTGTTGTGCACCATAGAGAATCATCAGTTAACCAACCCAGCCTGTCCTAAAAAAAAGGGGGGGGGGCTATTTAATTAAAAATATTCTTATATATTATACAAAACTAAACTGATTATCTTACCACTGATGATTCAGTATTTAACGAATAAGTTAAAGCCAAATCTTCTGAGGATTGTGTCAGGTCAAATATATTCATTAAACCATCGGTACTACCCGATGCCAAAACATTCTGCTTGACAGGATGAAAGGTCAGACAAGTTATGTCATCCATATGTGATTCCCAATATCCACCAAGAAGACTGTTTTTATTTCCTTTTGAACTACTTTGCCTTATGTCCCAAAACAGAATAAACGCATCTCCACCCGTGTGCTCTGTCCCACCAGCTATGAGTCTTTCATCGCAACTAAGGTCAAAGCTAGCCAAAGGTTTTGTTTTGCCATTTTCTGTATTATCTGTAAGACAAGCTAAGACGTAATTAAAATGTTTATTGATAAAAACTCATGTTTATGATTTTTAGAGTTGACAGTTACCTTTAAATTCTGCCACAATTTTTCCTTTAGCACGCAAATCACATGCTGTAATTAGTCCATCATTAGATGCGACATATATTAAATTTTTAGAAGTAGGATTGAATTTAATTCCCACGATGGGTGCTTGATTATGATCTAGTGTAATTATTCGATTCAAAGATTCACCAATAGAATATATTATGCAAGAATGATCTGACAATGCTGCTCCAATCCTAAATTCTGGCTCACTATACATACAAACAAACAATGATTCATATGACAAAATAAAATTGATTTATGTGACTTTGGACAATATATATGAACAGAAAACTTTCAAAATACATTTTATCCAACATTTTATTTTTTAGTTAGAAATGACATAATGTTCAATGTTAAAAGACTCAAAAACTATTATAAAATATTCGAAAATCATTTTTTAAATTAATTTTTTGTTAATTTATATGCTGAAAAAATATAGACATTTCAAAGTATATTATGTTTTTTAATTAGAAACAAACAAAACGCATTTGTTTAACATTTTTAGCAATTGTCTAGCAATTTTGTTTAATATTTCACATTCTACTGATATATTGATATTTTCTGTAAAGTGTATAGTTTCTTTCTTTTTTGCTTTCTAAAAATTATAAATTTTGAACAAAATGCATTTTGAAAGCTTGTCATATAATGAGACCATTTCATGCTATATATTAAATGTAAAGTAACAAATAAATACACTAAACTGATAATAATTAAATTTTTTTGATTTTAACATGCTTATTAAACAAGGATATTAGTTATAAAAATAACTGAAAATATATATCATTGAGCATGTAAATTTAGATTTTTACAGAAATGCACACAAAACATTTAGAAAATATCATACATGCATAAAAACATTATATTAAACAAAATCTTTATTTTATTGTAATCAAATAACCAGAATTAATAATTAGAACAAATAACAACAAATATACAGTAATGCTTCATGCAACAAAGAATATATATTAGTTTTGTGTCGTTGACAAGATTTATTTTAAAAATGGATCACTTTTGATCATATAATAAATACAGTTAATTTTCTTAGATTGCATATAATAGAAACATACTTGAAGCATATGTTATATTTTGAACAGATTTGATATTAAATATTTTCTATAAGGTCTACTTTTGTGATTAACTAATGTACATTGTACTTAAAATAAAACAATGTATACAAAGTTTGACGAAAACGATATAAATCAAACTTATAAAGAAATATAAAATTTGCCTTTGGGTTCCACAGACGGATAGAATGTACTCGCTCTGATCGAGTGACACTCTTTCTTCCAATGACAGCGTCAATTCGACCTTCTTATTGACTCCGTCGTTGTCTTGTCGGACTAACTCCGTGTTGTTCTCGACATTCAATTTTTTCAAAGACTCAACTATTTTCGACATATTCTTCGTATTCCAGATTAGACCTAATTCAATTAATAGAGAACACAGAAATTAGTCACTTAAACCAACTAAAACGAAATTTAAGGTTAAGTTTAAACGCTGCACACGCGCCTCAAACTTCTTTTACTTTTTTATTCGTTGCCTTCAGCTCGCTGCTATTGGTATATTCTTTTAAGCCAATAAAGAATCGCACTTTTCTCCTAGAACAGTCCTTACCATTGGTTATCGGTATCGCTACTTAACGACGACAGTATAACATGCTATAGTTTACGTTGGTACGATATCCAATAGGAGAGCTTTTCTAGATATATATAACAATATTTTGTCGCACGATGATGTTTGTCGTATATATCTAGAAAACAAGCTCTTCTATTGGATATCATACCGTCGGATATTATATACAGGGCTGCGTTCAGAAATTACACTTAGGTAATTCTAAAGCCCATTCTACATTGGTCGTATCGTAGACGTCGCAGGTCACAAATTTGTTGCAACAGCCAATCCGATGTGTCAATTAGAAGTCTCACGATGCTTACGATACGACCAATGTAGAATGGGCTTAATAATTCCTGAACGCAGCCCGGGTGAATCCTACATTATACCATACCATGATCGGAGGCATCGGAACAACTCTACATTGCAAGCATATGCCA